TCTCTCTCTCTCTCTCTCTCTCCCTCTCTCTCTGTCTCTCTCTCCATTCTTCCTTTCCTGCGTCTCTATCTCTCTCACTCCCTCATTCCGACGGATGCGTTTGGAAAGAATGGTCTGCTTTGTATTTGTTAAGTTGTGTTGTCCAGTGCTATATCGAGTCATGTACGGGGGAAACGCAAATGTACAGTAATAAATAACAATGTATGTTGTCACGTATATATAGCCAATCTTTGGTAGGCGCCCGCTGACAACAACTTTGGAAGTAGTGAGGGTCTGTCTTTGCCCCTCCCTCTCTTTCTCTCTGTCTCCATCTCTTTCTCTCTCTGTATTTCTCTGTATGTACATATATTTCTAGATATCAAGATTGGCCAAAACCGGATAGAAGAGAAAGTCAGGCGAAGAGTGTAATGTAACGGCGGATCACTTTCTACTACTGGGGGTCAAAGAAGAGAAGACGACTAAGATGGACCGGAACTAGGGTCAGATAGTAGAGAAGCAGCGAGAACATATAAACAGGCTAACAGACGAGGTACATAAGCAGAAACAATTGGTGAGACAGATGTCAGACGAACTAGGCCGTGTTAAGTCACTGCTCGTAGAAATGACAGAAACTGCGGAACAGAGGATATTCACCGTGTACTGGTTGTTACTATCCGATCCAAAGTGTTTAGACATAACTCGTCCGAGGGAGGACATGACTGTCCGACTGAAGGCAATAGCTGAAACGAAGACCACCATGTTTGACGAGTTCCAGACATAGTTGGATGGTGAAAGGCGCAGGCGCACCGCAGTCTTGAATCGGTTCGCCGCCCACGTCACAAAGAGAACTCACAGGGAATCACAAGGACTTGATGTCGCATCTTGTGGCAGCCCTCAGAAGTGTGTGATGAAGGAGGGGTGGGCATCGTATGATAGCCAAGAATATAATATGGGTTCGCTAACTGCTTCGTCAAGCAGTGTCATCGACCTCTTGGCCTTCGCAACAGACTGTATTCGCCACTGTAAGGAAACCGTAGACGGGTACGGTCTCTGTAATGAGGGTGTCACGATTGCTAAGGATGACCTTCCTCGCAATATGACGTCTCTGTTGAACAGTTGCTCGGACGTCATTGAACAAGCTATTCGTGAAAAGTGGACCAAGAAAAAAGTCCAGTTTGCAAAGTCCACAATATTTTTCATAGAAAACTATTGTCGGCCAAACGCAATGTGACCCGAGGCTCGTATGTCATTACAACTTTGAGCAAAACCTATTTTTAGCAAAACGAAAAAGCTTGTTGAATCACAACTTTGAGGAAAACCTATTTTTAGCAAAACGAAAAAGCTTGTTGAAAAAAAAAAAAAAAAAAAACGGTTTTTATAGAAATTTTGAGAACAACCACTGTTTTCATTATAAGAAGCTTTATCCCCAATGGAGATGCGAAGACAAGGAAACAGGAAAAGGGCCCCGTGTGCAGGGGTCCCTGCATGCATAGGGAGGGGCGCATGCATAGAGGGGCCCCCATATATATAGGGGGTCCACTATATGCATATAGGGCACCTTACATGGGGGCCGAGGGGGGGGGGGCCTGCAAGGACCCCCGCATATGGGGGGGGGGCCCGCATGCATGTCTAGAGGGGGGCCCGTGCATGCAGGGGGGATGCCCATATGAGGGGCCCTGACATGTATGGGCCCCTATGCACAGGGGAACCCGTTTAACCATTCCCCCAATTCCTATATCTCGATATGGGCCGGCCCCCTATGTGAGGCATACATGGGCCCCCGCGCATAGGGGTCCCGCATGTTTGCATGGCCTCCACTCAAGCATTTTTTTGGGGGGGGGCTGCATGCATGGGGATACACGGGGCCCTCATGTAAGGTGCACACATGCACGGCCCCCCTCATGTATCCGTGGCCCCCCATGTATGGGCCCCCCGTGTATGGCGGCCCCCAGCCGCATGCATGCATTGGGGGGGGGCACATATGAGCAATAAGAAAAAAAAAAAAAAAAAAAAATCACAAAGGAAATGCATCTAGAGTCCTTGTGAAAACAAACGTCACAGCAACTCTGCAATGAAAATTGAAAGTCGATAAAGAAGCTCTCTCGAATCAGGCCCCCATACAAATAAGTGAGCGTGAAATGCACTGGAACATCTGAAGACGAGCATAGAAATGAAAACCAGACTGGGCAAAAAGACTAAGCATGTCTCCAGCCTTCTGCGACTGTCCGGCCGGTGCTCTCCTTTTCTTGCTTTGCACTCTCCTGGAAGTCCCTCCCTGCTAGCCTGACCCTGATCCCCCTCACACAATGCAGATCAACCTCCACAGCCAAGACATTCCTTTTGCAGAGAAGCCCTGCAACAACCCCAGTCCCTGACCCAGAGAATGCATCTACAATATACGAGTCATTCGGGTCAGAGAACTTGGTGATGAGCCACTCATATAGCGTGACAGGTTTCTGGTACGGACAAAGGATCTCGTTGTCTGCAGCAAAGACATACTTCTTTGTCACTGCATTGTGACTCCAGCAATTCAACCTTGAGTCAGCATTATTGAATTGAAACTGCAGGGGTTCCCTAGTTCCGCTGTCATTGTGAAAGCCAAGAACACAGTGCTGCCAACAGTTAGTGAACTTGAGCCCACCAGGAGAAGCAACATTGGGAGCAACCCAAACACCCACGTCCACCCCAGCATTGCATGCGGCAGAAAACACAGATGTGACGTCGCTGAGCATGTCAATAGAGCAGAAGCGTGCAAGCACCCAGAAAGGAGAACAGGTGATCTTCTTTAAGTTCTCCACGGACGCCTCAATCTGAGGCTTCGTGAAGGGCTCCGCATCGTGAGCAGAGCCATTGGCATCATATCCATAAGGGAAGTCGAAGATGCATAGAGTGAACGGCAGCCTATCCCCCAATTTGTCACTCAGCTGAAGCATGTCACAGTGCATCACCTTAACACTCCCCTTGTAGCCTTCCCCCTCTAACGAAACCCAGTCAGCAAGCAACCCCTCAGGATCTTATGTTCCAACTGCGTGTTGCTCGTGCTGGGAAATTTTATCCCTGTAGTTAAGGGCCTTGGCCGCATACAGCTGCATAGGACGTGGGGTCCCTTTGATATTCTTGTCAAACAGGCCATAGTATTGGGATAGCATCGCCTCTTGTGTGTGAACTGGGAACTCCTCTTTGGCTTTCTCCCAGCTTTCTACCCCCACCTCCTTCATAAAAGCGACTGCTGTCCTTTGACGAGTTTTGAAGATCTTGAACTTCTCCGCCATCTCATAAAGGGACATAATCCCACTCTTAACCTCAGTGAGGACAGGGATGAAGACGGCGTCGTCAAGTGCAGCCATCATAAGCCAGGGCTTATATGGCATATCCGCTGGCTCGTTGACGACTTCGTTCTTCTCAGTTACGTACATCCCCGGATTGAGGGCCATCAACGACAACCTCTGCTCACACATATCAATCTGTTTCCTCTTCGGCCTTCCCCCTTTTTTTTCATGGCCTACCGACAAGTTTGTTGCATGAATGGACTTTTCTCCCACCCCCCTCTTCATCTTCACATCCTTTATCTTTCCCTCCTCCCAAAGGTAAAAAATGTCAAACATCAAAGCCCAGACCTCAGCGCCCCGCATGCAGATTTGGAGTTGTGGATCCCAGTTCGATACCTGGTCCCAACAGGTTGCCTTCAGACCAAAAGCCTCCAAGCAAGCCTTCTTGACCTCCTGAGTCTTGTGACAGCCCAACTTCTCAAAAGTCTGCCTCCAACAGCGCATTCTCTAAACAAATGTGAGCTGCTTGTGAAACCCTGCAGCACGGTTGTGCTCGTGCCCGACGAGAATCGCCTCTTCCACAGTGAGGCCGACATACACATAGCATGTGTATCTCTTGTAGAAATCCACGGTGGGGTGTTTGAGCATCAGCCTACTGCGGGCTTCTCCATAATGGCCACCACCAAGGATCCACACAGTATAACCCCCGTCTCTGAGTTTCTGCTTGTCAACCTGATCCACAAATGTGCACTGAGAAGGGTCAATCATACCAACGAATGGGAGATGGTCCCCACAAGGCGCCCTCCCCATAGAGGTCATGAGGACCCTGACTTGGTACTCTCCGGGCTCTCTTATCTCCCTGGAGCGTCTGCCATCTGGAGTGTCAACCGGTGGCCTCGCCATACAAGACATGGGAAGGCTGATCGACTCGTCGCCTAATTTCTTCGGATGTAGATGCACCAACATACTTTTCATTATCTGCAATGGAGTCCGATCAGATGCAGGAGGCACGAGATCAAGAGCCGCAGTAAAAGGAACGGCAGCAGACTTCCCTTTACCCCTAGCACCCCCTTTTCCTCCCTTAGCTCTCTTGCTCGGCCGCCCTGGGGACAGGTGGTCTGACCCAGGGCTCGCCACTGCAGGCCGGGCAGGCCGCATTCTGGCACTTCCCTTTCCCCTCCTCTGCAAAGAGCCTTGCTGCACCTGCCCAGGGGACGCTGCAGGGGCTCGCTTAGGCGCAGCCATATTGGCATTGAGAAGGAGAGAGGTCTGCCGGACAGAGGGACCATGAAGTTTGTTGCCCGCCGCCAGCGGACCAGGAGGGCCCCCCCAATCGCACCTGAGAAGACATCGGAGTTTGAGCCCCCCGAGCAGCCAGGCGTGATTCCATGAAAACCGCGAAGAAGAAGCAGACGTAGGAGCAGAGACTGTCACAAAAGATCTGCAAAATAATAAGAAAGACGACAGTCAAAGCAACATCATCAATGATGTGGACACTTCAAACCTCCCCAAACATGACTATCGCGAGAGTGCAAAGGAACCTTTCAATCTTTTGCGAAAGTGACTTCAAGCCTCTCCATAATATAATTAACGAATAACTAAAAAATAAAAAAAATAAAAATACTAATAGCGTACCAAATTAAGCAATCAGGGGACAAGTCAGCAATGTGATCAGCAAATGCAAGCGACCAGCAGCAGCATGCACAACTGCAGCAACAAAAGCAAAATTACAGTTGGCATCAGCAGCTATTGTCGTTAGTTTAATATCTGATCCGTCGCTGCAATGAGCCCAGACATGATGATACTCGTCAACATTACCAGTCCATATGATTATCGATCTGCTGATGAATGACAACAATCGCAAATGTGTGTGATGATAGAATGAGGTGAGAATCATACACAGACGA